AATAGCGGAGGTGTTTCACCACCTCTAGCTGACATGTATAATGATGATGATGATGATGATGATGATATTCTCGGGTGGTTTTGGCAAGAATGCGGATTTGGGTAAATCGGGCGCGCACTCTTTAGGCACGCCCGGTAGTTCGTACTGCGTGTAGTCTATACCAACGTCTGCAGTTATATAAACAAGAACGATAAGCCGTAGCGCTTTGTTATAATCTTCTCACTAGACGCAAGTCCAAAAATAACAATTTACTGCTCCACAAAACTTCTAGCCCAACCGAAGGAAAAAAGCAAAACGCCAATGACCTTGACAAAACAACGTATTAATCGCCGCTTCGTTGTTTCTGAGGGATAAAAGTTGTGGGAATCACAGAGATTTGGTTAAATGATGAAGTACTCACCCAGGAAGTTAAGCTTAATGGTTACTCGTACGCCGCTGTGAGAGGTCATCGAATCCCCGCAGTGGCGTCTTGATCTACATCCGGTCTTCTTTGTGTGGGACACTTGTGAGCGCCTACCGAAGTGATCATGCCTTATGAGAGCAGTTGTGGTGTTTGAATCACTTCAGGAGCGGAAAGCTGCACGTGGGTGCATTTTGTTGAAGTCCCTTGAGCCGCTGTTCAGAATGGTTACCATATCTCCGGAAACATATGGGCCACCTCATTTTCTACTGATGGGCAATTTAAACTGTCCACGAGTACGTTGACCTGAAGTACAACTTATCACCGGATACTGTGAGGCCAATGCAAAGCTCGCTGAAGTGATACTTGAAACTGATGCAGCTTAACACATTTACCTATCGACGCGCAAAACACCGAGACCAACTCCGTCGCGTCTAGACTTGATGTCAACAAGCTGTGAACAACATGCGCATGACGCTCAGATCCTGGAGCCCCTGACAGCAAGCGACAACTTAGTTCGCACTGTCAACATAGAGCTGCCGAAGCAGCATCCCGATGCACTAGAGCAAGTTTACAACGACTAAAAGACGGACTTTGACGGTTTGAATCGAGCCGCGAGCCAAGTGGATTGGTCTCTGCCACAAAATGCATGTTTAGAAACTTGCTGGTCAGGTACAGTGGATGCAGTAAACCCAGTACGTAATCGGCTTCTGCCTGTCAAATGTCCGGAAGGCAGACCGATCAAGCCCCATTGATTCGACAAGGAATATAGCAAACTGGCTCAGAGGCAAGGCAAACGGTGGGACAAAATACTTACCTCTCGCTCGGCTGACGACTACGAAGCGTATGACAATAAATTATTGGCAACATTGCGAAAACATGAAACTGTCGGCATTTCGAGGCAGCTCACAAACGCCGCCCCGAAGATAGCTTTTGAGTACGTGAAATGATGTACAAAGCCGGCAGGTGACGTGTGTCAGCTGTACGCCGTAACGGAGCTTCGTTGCCGAGCGAGCACCATCAGTCGCAAATGGGATGAGTATACCGCAAGGACGCCTGCACCTAAGCAGATCCGAACCGGTGACCACATGATTACAAGCCAGGCGTGCATTGGCCGACTCACAAAGTTAAATAAGAGAGATATAAGACAACCCTGGTAAACCCAACTTGTCGTTGGAAACGCAAGAGACAGCTTCCCGTAGCCCTTTATTACCTGGCCTCAGGAGTCGCGGTAGAGAAAGTGTATATAATGGAAAAATGCTTGGCTAGCACGCCGTTCGTGGATAGGCACTGCCACAAACTAGCGTGATTAACAAAGTCGGTGGCTCTCAAGTCGTCGGTGAGTATATCTATGCTCTAACACTTGACGAACAGTAAATATTTGAGCGATGGCAACCACGAACAGAGCAGTAGCCAACCCGAATAGCAAAGAAACGGCTCTCATAAGGTTCACAAATTGGTCGAGGAATGATATCTCTCAGAAGTTTGGAGGCAATGGAAATAAGGTTAACGCATCGAGGATTTTCGCAGTTCGCTGAATTCTGTTGAAAGTGAGGATGATAGTTGACAGTCCCCAGTCTGAAAGCACCTCTTCAGTGTTCCAAATAGTGTTGAATAGGGTAATGAGTTCAGTTAATAAAGTCAACTAAAAGGGTTGTAGGGACTAAGAGCCACGTTTCGTTTAAGCGCGGCAATTTCATGTTGAATTTCTTCCAAAGTAGATGTGACATTAAATTCCCATGTCGGCTCAGGCCCACTGAACTGTACTTCAGAATGTTCCGCCAAAGGAGCCAGTCGACGCGGTTGAGACTAGATAACCTATGCATCAAAGTTTCTCTTGGACCCGTGTTCCGGATAAGCACTCGGCTGTCCCAAATAGCATTGGCTTTCTCCAGCTCACGGGCTCTTGCCACCTATCAGCTTTCCTAGTAATGAAAAAATCTATCATTAGTCGTTGTTTCAGGGCATTACGGACACGCTGACCTATTAGAACTTGTTTCCGTGTTTCGGCAAACTGATCGACGCGTCGGAATTCCATGTATAGTTCGGGCGTCTCGAGTTGCATATGTAGCAGGCGTCGGAAGCACCATTCAACGCACACCTGAGACGGTTCCAGTCAGCGTTCGGCTCACAAACCTCATTCAGCACGGACATTTAGTGGACTGATTCGTCGTGATAATGTTGAATTGCGGACAGCGCGTTTAAGTTACAAGTGAGAAGCTTAGAAGTTAGGCGCTTCTTTGAGGCGGAAAAGGTGAGGGCCAGAAGCACACAACAGAACATTGTCATAATTCAGGAACGTACGCGAAAAAGACTGACGGTTTTTGTGAAGATGAGTCATAGCTAGACTCAGGCAGACAGTCACCACATCCAGGAAAGCACTATGCGGCCGTTTCTTCCTATTGGGACTCGTCATTAGGGCGCACCCACCGAATCTTTGAACCCATGCCCTTAGTCCTATGAGCCAGCGACTTATGCCACTGAGCCATGGGTGACGGCAGCGGACCGCCATGACTGATATCCAACGATATAGCACGGCTCATCCTCTACTGTCATGCACGTTATGAACGTGCAGAGAACACGGCTACTGCCCAGAGCTACTACTTCCTCTGCACGTTCATAACATGTATAACGGTGGACGACCAGCCGCGCTCTAACGCAGTTAGTTATCAGTCATGGCGGTCCGCTGCCGTCATCCATGACTCAGTGGCCTGTCGCTGGCTGTTAAGAGTAAGGCCATCTAGCGCCTTCCTGGATGTGTGATGGCTGTTTGCCTGAGTGGAGCGGCGACGAATTTTCACAAAAATCCCATCACTAATGACAGAGTCTCAAACCGTTTTGCTCCATCTATAACTCATGGCAATATGGTCAACTTGGGTCCAGGTCACCGATGAATTCAGTGTGCGCCAGGTGATATGATATGAACGTTTATGCTGGAAAGCAGTTTTGCTAATATATAAACTGAGCTACTGACTCCGTGTCACCAGGGACTCAAAGAGTGTAGATATTGCCGGTGGCTTCAGAACTAAAGTCAGGGCGTTGTTATCATGCATGGGTGTTTCGAAGAGACGGCACACATCAATACCAGAAGAGTGAGGAACGAGAGTTGGTACTGTCGGTTGGCCGATCTAACCGAGTGATGTCAAACGAACCAATGTGGAATGATACTCTCGGTCTCAAGGACGAGTTGTACCTATAGATAGCATCAGTTGCGAGATCAACGGCAGTCATGCTTAACAGACAGGGTAGTGAGGAGTTGCAAGAGGAGAGGAAACAAGAAGTAATGTTGTTGACGGGGTTGCGAGGGCAGATGATATTCTCTGGCTGTCAATTCCGAGAGTGGTTCCATCCTAAAGGCTTTCCTTCTAGTTTTTGGCTCAACTCTGGCCAATAAGACGATGGGGAGCAAGTGCAACTTGGGTGTGACTACACAGACCCGCAAAGATCAGCTTGAGGCCTGTCATACGCAGCCTTTGAAAAGTTTGAACAATTCACATGTTTTCGATGGCAGCAAACCACGCCCCTCCGATCACGACCGGCCGCAGATGGGAGTTGGCGGGTTTGCACCCATTTGACTTAAGGCTTGCCTGGCCGGTGGCCGAGTGGTCTGCACGTTTGCTTTACAACCATAACGTCACCGGTTCGAATCCGCGTAGGGGTGGGCGTCCTCGCGGTATACTCAGCCCGCGCGCGACTAGTGGTGGTCGTAATAATACAATAAAATAATGTGTCAGCTGTACGCCGTAACGGCGCTTCGCTGCCGCGCGACCACCACCAGCCGCGCGCGGGATGAGTATACCGCGAGGACGCCCACCCCTACGCGGATAGTGGTGGTCGTGCGGCAGCGAAGCGCCGTTACGGCGTACAGCTGACACATTTTATTACATATTATTGCCTGGCCCGTAGCCTAAAGGCCATAAGTTCGTCTTGTAATCTGACGGCGTGGGTTGGAGCTTGCGTAGAGGAAGGGTGACCCTCACAGTATTCTTAGTCCACGTGCGACCGGTGGTAGTTTCGCGGCAGTGAAGCGTCGGTACTACGCACCGGTGTATTGCTGATGCGTTCCTTTTATCGCCTCTAGACGAACAGTAGCAAACTACTGAGCACCGGGTGGTGCCCTCCCACCGTCAGAGACAGTGTGGCGCTCATGCTCTACGCAAATGGAGCTGTGACCTACAGGATGAGCTTTAAGGAGGACCATCGACCTCTTCCTAACCTCCGAAAAAATTGGGAGACTGAGCTGGTCTGACCCATAACCATTGATCTAGCTGGTACGAGTGCTTCTGAAGGCATTTCGAAAGTTTAAACAAACGTGGCTCATTAAAGCAACGAGGTACACAAATGAGCGCAAATGTTAGGATGCAATCTCGCAGAGATGAAAGAGAAAGTACATGACGTGTTGCTCTGTCTAGGTCATAGCGCAGGCCCGCAACAATTAAGGCCGTAAATGAGTGGAGTGGTAGCTTACAGTATGCTTGTTTCTGCTTATTATTATGAACAAAATAATTATGGTAAGTTCGCAATCAGGTGTGGAAGAAATATGTCAAGAGAAACCTATGGAGTTAGATGAAAATCGGGCTAGAAAACAACAGAAACTTACTCGTTTGCGCAAATTATAGCTCGAAAGGTACCTCAAAAGGCTAGCACTGTCCGCTTTATCGACTTCCAACAGAAATGTTTCTTCGCCTGGAGTCACAGTCTTTGTATGATATACAAACACATCTGACATTACTCTGCCCTTTTCAAAGGGTTAGGTGAATGTTTTCAAGCTGATAACCTTCACATTTAGAAACAGAGAGTACATGAAAGAACCCAGTCGACTGATTGAGCGCATATCGTTGGTGAGCAGTCCTTGGAGAAATTCCGTGCTCGAGGCACCACATAGTCGAATAATACACCTAGAATCCATCCTCCCAATGTTCAACAGCCTTTTCAGCACGAGAAGCGGGATCTTGCAGGAAACGCTGCGTCTGACAAACATCGTGTACAAGCTGGAATATGCATAAAAAACAAAACTGTATTGGTTTGGCCTCCAATTGAATAGGTGCGCATACAACTCCGGAAAATATGTGTAGGGTAAAAAAATAACCCTAAAAAAGATTGAATATAAAGGATTTGAAAAAGTAAAATGGTAGCGGCTAAAAATGGTGTCAATGCGCGTAGAATTTGGTTGACTGCAATGCGCATAGACAGAATAGAAATATTGGTGGGAAGTGACAAGACTGTGAGGTTGCGATTTCGAGCAGTCAGTATCTAGCGTCTGTACCAAGCAGAAAGTTCGATCTAGTTCAGTTAAAGGACCAATTCAATACCGAAGCGTAGAAGACCTAATCATTACGACCTGTGAAGCCGGAATAAATAGACGGTGAAGAAAAAGAGGAAGAGAATAAACAGAATGCAAGAGGGTTAGAAAAGTAAAATGTGTAAAACAAGATGTAAGTTAAATGGCCAGATAAAAAAACCGAATGCAGAAGTACCAGCGGTTGCTCGGCTGAAACATGTCTGATAAAGTTTCAGAAACTGAAGTGGTCCATTCCGAAGCACATATCTAAGAAGATGGTACACGCACTAGACTGAACGAGTCTCCCGATCAACATCTTCATGTCCTAACTATACATTATCCAGGATACGCCCAACTCAGTGCAGCGGTAGCATTTGATACACGCCGAAGAAAGAGGTTATGGGGATACAGGGAGCATGAACTATCCAATGTAAAAAAGACATCAGCAGTACCCCGGTATGCAGTGCCGACGCTTTGCTGCCGTGCAATCGCCACCGGTAAAACTTGGGCTAAGATACTGCGAGGATTGCCCTGCCCCTACGCAGGCTCGAACGCGCGTCGCCACTTTACAAGACAAGCTTGTTACCTTCAGGCTGCGCGCCGGAATGTAAACGGGTACTCTTTAACTAACAATCCAATGAGGCACAAGAAGGGCTTCTAGTCAAACATCAACTGGAGGACCTCAGCAGTGCCGCCCCCTGATGTTCGCACCAGATGCGGAGTCTGCTAATAACGAAGCGTGCCATTCTGTTGGTAGCTAAAACAACCTAAGCAGTGGTCTCAGTGCTTCAGAAATAGAAGCCGCTGCTCTCTTTGACCATAACCGCAAGCTCTTCCAGCTCATTTGATCTACTGGTTACAGAAAACCTGGTGACAGTGAGACTATTTGTGAAGCAGATAATTCGCCGATTGCTAGCATGCGGAGATGCTTGAACCGATGGGCCGGATATTATCATTACCAGTTCAATTGGTCCTCATCCTCCACCTATAGGCTATAGGAATCCAGCTTCCTGCCCTGGATCGCCCACTTGATCCACCCAGTGAGGCAGAAGCTTGCAATGCGATTCGACACTTGAAGCGATTTAAGGCAGTCGGCTCAGACGAACTTCTGCAGCCATTCAAGTATGGCGGTGCAGTTACCAACAGCCAGCTAACTACATAGTTCTTCAAGACCGTAGAAAGAAAAGGTGGTTTCTTCCTGACAGGAATCAGTATTTATCCCGATATTTATGTAGGGTGCTTGCATTTCATGCGTCAATCACCGGGGGTTAGCAACAACGTACCTACAACGGTGAAGTCAGGAAATGCGAGTATTCCGTTCAACAATCGGGTTTTGTTGCGCTAGTGAACGTGAGTCCTATGGCGGCTAAGCGTTTGCCACGCCGCGCTCTATTCGCCCGTTCAAGACCGGGCTGCAGGTGACGGCGTGGTCGTCTGCCTTTTACCTGGCGAGAGCATATGAAATCGCCGACTTCACGTCCAGTTGCAGTTGGATCCACGCGCCTGCCAGGTTGAGGACCAAAGGACGAAGAGTGCTGTTGGCTCGAAACAATTCGAAATACGGCGCTCAATCGGAACTAGTGGGATATGTGTACATACTTGCTTAGTACATAACAAATGAGAAAAACAAAAAACACTTAAAAATGGCAAAAAAGAGTAGTGAGTTTTTCTTGCGGCACAAAAGCTGAAATCTGTTGACCACCTGCAGCTACTGTGTCATGAAGATCATGATATTACCATAGCATTTCCCGCAAAGTTGCAATAAAGGTCCAAAATTTTGCAAAAAAAATCCAAAATTTTGCAAAGAAGGTAGAACACTGCAAAGAAAGTCCATTATGTTGCAAAACCCTGTGCGATTCTCCAGCCGCTCAGAGCCAATCCTCTGACCTTAAGTGTGTTCTCATTGGCCGGATGCCAAGGTTCGGTGCGTTAGTTGGT